TGTGTGTGTGTGTGTGTGTGTGTGTGTGTGTGTGTGTGTGTGTGTGTGTGTGTGTGTGTGTGTGTGTGTGTGAACATAGGTTCCTCCATAGGCATGTTTATCAGAGACTGGCCTGAGGCAGACATGAGGAAGACCAGAGCCAAAGGCACTGAGAGGGWCCCCGAGTGCAGAGCCCCCAGGGGTGTGTAGGGGGTGCCCCTGCAGGCACACACCCACCCCTCAGAGTGGAGCAGAGGAGAGAATCAGGGGGAATCTCTCCAGCAACCACAATGCAGCAGCCCCTGGGCCCAGCAGTGATGAGCCCACAGGCTCTGCCAGCAGATCTGGCCATGGAGAACCAAGGACGTCCCAACCCCCCAGGCCAAGGCCCACCAGGGCCAGAGGACACAGGCCCCACCAGGCAGTCACCAGGCTGAGACAGCACACACAGACTCAATTACACACACACACACGCACGCACGCACGCACGCACGCACACACACACACATTCTGGACACACACAATGGACCCATACTTCACTCACACCCCCCATGCACACTCTGTACCCCCCAGGTCCAGGACATGCACCCGGTCCTCTGGTGGTCCATGGTGGGGCTTCAGTCCATTAGAGGAGCTTTTAAGAGTGTAAACCTTAAAGGTTGCACCCAGACCCAGGAGGAAACCCCCTTCCTTCCAGGGTGGAGGGGAGCAGACAGCAGCAGAGCCTCTCATCAGTCAGGACGAGGACTGGGCATCCCCGAGGACACAGACATGAAGACGGTGAAGTTTTATTTTTTAACAAGTCGAGTAGTTTGGAAATTCACTACAGACCGAAGGATTTGTCTTTAAAAGTAGGTTTAGCAACTTAGCTGGTGAAATTTATGCTGCAATAAGATGTTAAATAAAGAAATGCAACTACAAGCCCTGATACTGGGGCTAAACCTGATTTATAGATGTTTGTTTATTTATTTCTGTGTAACAGTTTACCTGTGAAGTCACTCTTCCAGTAAAAACACCTGTAAATACACGTCCCGAAGCATTTTCAGTCTGATAAGAAACTGATCTCTGTGGTAACGGGGAACACCTGGTCCCACAAACTCATGTGAAGCCGACGTCAGATGAAGGGTAGACCGTCTCATTTCACAGTAGGTTCATGCAGCCTACCTGGCCCAGCGAGGATGTGGCCCACATGACCCACATGGCCTGACGCGCACCCCCAGCTGACCACCCGCAGGACTCCAGTGGGCACGCCGGCCTGAAGGCCAACCATGGCAACCAGGAGCCACGATCCAAAAACCCATATGACCCTAGGAGARCTGGAACCAGACACACCTGTGAAGAAGGGGGCGGGGCTATGGAGCTCAAACTGGATCTTCAGGTGTGAAACTTCAGCTTTCCTCATCGGAGGAGTTCTGGACTGAACAGAACCTTTATGCTGACATGAGTTAAAGGCTCAGTTCACCTGACCTGGACCCTGACCTGGACCTGGACCCTAAGCTGCACCTGGACCCGCCACAGAAGCAGCTGTGCTAACAGCTGGAGTTCTTAGAGTCTGCTGCAGGTTTGGTGTGTCCTCTCTGAGCTGCGGACTTCCTGAAGAGTTCGGCTCAGATGATGGTTCCCAGTTTGTTCTTTGACAGGAACCAGTGGCGGCTGGTCAATAGGGGGCGCTGGTCCCCCC